TACTTGGTTGAAATTGTATTTTTCATTCTTCTTTTATCTAATTTAACCTCGTATATATTTTTTCTCCTTAGTTTATCTATTTCACTTCAAATATAACTCTGATAATTTTTTTCTACTTCATTTTTCATGTATGTATTAAAATTTGGTAGAAAATTTGTTTATAGTTTTTATGCAATCTATAAATTTTTTTATGTTTTTTTAAATCTTTAAACTATGTTAGTAAAATTGAAATTTAAAGTTTTTCTTTATGTAAAAGTTTTCATATTAAAATATAGAAAAAAATCTCTAATTCCCCGCTGGAGATCCTTGGTCCCCATTGGCGGTAGGGATGGGGATTCATTTATATTCCCCGGTGGGCATGAGGATAACAATTGGAATGAAGATTCGGGGATGAGGATGGTGATTGGGTCCTGTATTCCTGCCTCCCGTTGTCATCTCTAATTTTAGTGATTAAGTTTCTAATTTATTAATACTGATTATACACAATGTAACACAAAAAAAATATTTATATGGAATTTATCAAACGGTTTTGAAATTATGTAAAATATACTCGAATTGTTTATAATATTTTTTATAATACTATTAAAATAATAAACATGTTGAAAAAAATTAAAACAAATTTATGTTGAATAATATAACTTAAAGTAAGGTGAGAAATAGTTTGAAGAGAAGAGTGTTGTGCTGCGACACGCAGTACACGCGCAACAGTTTTTAAGTCAGAAGTCTTACTAACAAACAGCTGCGAAAGGCCAAGTACGGTGCAGTCAGAGAAGTGGTTTTTCGTAAAAAAAAACAAAAAAAAACAAACAGCCCCTTAGAGCTTGCTCCAAATATGGTCAAAGGCCAAGAGGTCATAAGTTCTAATCCAAGGAGGAACAAAAAACCCTTTTTGGCCACGGAGGTTCACCCACGATGACTTCGAGCTACTCGCAAAACGGGTAATCGTCGGAGATTAGTCGGCTCACAAAACGTATTGGAAACCTCGGTTCCTAGGAAGCCCAAAAAAAGAGTCAAATCGGGAAAAATCAAGGTTTTTTTTTAAATAAATCGTAAAATGTATGGTCATTTATACAATTAACCCTGTCTCTAATACTCTTATTCTTCTTGTTAGGATCAGATCTAACGTTTCTGCCATAAACAATGACTGTAAATTCATTGGTAGTCTTTAACATGTTCGATGAAATGTTTGACAAAAGCGAAGGTTGATTCAAGAATTTTATTGCCAAGAATGATTTTGTCAATTCTTATTGCAATATTAACATCAGGTTACTGAGTTGTAAAGAAATTAAATGAAGATTACCTTCTAATGAATCAAATCTGGATTCGAATTTTGCTTGTATGGATGTCAATCTTCCTTCCAATTTTCATAAGCAGTGGAGTTCAGATCTTGTCCCCATTGCTCGAACTTGCTCTGATATCAATTGATAAACAATTTGGATATAATTTGTTTGTTTTATTGATGTTACTAACTTTGAGAGGTAGTATCTCTCCCAAAAAAAACTAAAATTGTTCACAACTCCAAAATGCCCTTCTCTACTATACCTAACCTATGTAGCTAACATCAGTAACATGCACCTAAAAACCTTCCGGTCCCTCCAGCCCAATTATAAAGAACTTCAAATCGTCCACTTGACCTTTAACTGGTTGACTTAATTAGTTTACTTAATCTTTTTTTACTCTTTGCCTATTTTAGTTTGATATAGGAAGCTTATCATATTCTAAACAATAACAAGATCATATTAGACATTCTAAAAGAATATTTTGAATACTTCCAACATAACAAACTCCAAAAATTGCATCGTTTGTATTTATCATTATAAATCTACAAACGTAGATAGAGTTCTAAAAATTTCAAAATTCCATTGTAAGNAAATTGCAGCCAGACCCATTTGTGCACCTCTAATTCTAGGAGTTGCATAATGGACAATTTAACATGAGTAAACATTGGGATAAGATTAAATCAACCTTTATATTAGGTTGCCTTTTTATTTTAATATCATTTCACCTTTATTTCATAGTACAAGACACACATGTACACATAGAGTTTTTCATTCTAGTTAGAGTACACACGTGTTCAATTCTAGTTAGAGTACACACCAATGAAATTGGTGAAACGAGACCCCACATAGAGTTTTCCATTCCGTTCTTGAACCAAACTAACCGGCACATTAACATATTCTTTAGCAAACGACACCGTTTGCAACACCACCCCATTTGAATTAAATCGCACCCCTTCAGGTTGAATGACAGCCATTCTTGGAATATATCCAACCGAAATTCCAACCCAAAACTCTCCTAATCTTTCTGCTCGCTTTATTTTATTAGGATTCCCTGTGGTATGTAGCAAAACTTCCACCGTATTTGCTTTGGGCCCCACCAACCAATATTTAGAAATCCGATTAGCATTAATCTCAGGTACAAGAACAAATGTACCATCCGCACTCACGGCAGGACCACCACCGCCAGAGAGACCACTCAGCAAAACTGACACCTCTCTGGTAACTGGGCTGTAACGCAATAACCTCCCGGTTGAATCTGGCTTAAATCCTGGTTTGGTAATATCTCTGCACCATGTGACATTTGCTCATATTCTATTACAATATCATATTTTCATTTAATCCACAACATTTTACTGTTAAAAATTTACTTAATTATAGCCTTTTTGTGTTTGGATTAAAAAAAAAAGGACTAGAATGCTATAATAAACAAATAAATGAATATGCATTGTTACTTTTTAGTTAAATTGGTTACCTAATATCATAAGTCAAACTACCATCACTGAAGTAAACATTTCCTGTTAATAAGTCAATGTCTATGCCATTAGCATACTTAAATCCTCCGGCAAGTTGAGTTGCGAGCCCTCCGGTGGGGTCCACAACTAGAAGTCCAAAAAATGCATCAGCTATGTAAAGAAACCCGGTTATAGGGTGATAGCTAAGTGCAATTGGTCGTCCACATATTGGCCCTTTCTCTGGATCTGTTGTACCATCACAAAATTGTTTTGTCCTGAAAAAAAAATATTCCATAAAATATTTTTTAAAAAAATGTCACATACACAATGATCATGTGTTATGCCTCAAGTGTCATAAATTATAATTTATACATAATAATTTGAAAAATACCTTGCTAGTGAAGTGTATGCGAAGTCCACAAAACCGATGGTAGGGCCTGCCCATCTCAAAATCCTGCCATCAGTGACGGTTGTGAAGGGCCCGTTGGCTAGAAGTCCTCCAAATGTGATTGAACCAGGGCCGGTGACACCCGGAGGTAACACTAACTTATTAAAGTTAGCAAATTGACCAGAAACATAGGTTTTAAAAACACAAAGAAATATGACCAAAATGGAAAGCATGTGTGATTGCATTCGTGGAGAAGCCATATTTGGATATATGAAGGGAGCAATGAAAGAGTATTGCACAAAGCTTCTATTTATATACGAAAGGTATGCATAATTAGCCGTCGTGTTCATTGGGAATGGGTGTCATAACGGCCAGCATGTGATGTATTCGCTAGTCTCCACCATATTGAGAATAAAATACTTTCTAATTTAAGGAAAAAACCAAAAAAATTTACTTATGGGTTTATATTTAAAATAAGTTTTTTTATATAAATATTAGAAGTCGTGAAACAAACGGATGTGTTCCGTAAAACCTTAAGGTTGAGTTTGGCATTTATAAGCTAGCTTATTGCAATTTAATGTTTGGTGATACTATAAAAACAGTTAATAATAGCTTATAAACTAACATATAGGCTAGTTTTTTGATAAATTAATTGATATAATTCATTGATAAGTTAACTTATAAGCTAAAAATTATTTTTCAGCTTACACGTCAAACTCGACTTAAGTCTCATTAGGCCCAAGCCTCAACTTGTAGTGTTTTTAAAGTTTTTTCTCTTTCAAATTATGTGTAATTTACAACGTAAATTATGAAAATGTTGTTACTTAAATAATGCACTAAAAGATATAACATGAATTCTAAAGTTAATTATATATAATAAAAAGAAAATTCCACAAAAATCACTACGTTTACACAAAAATTCGATTTTGAAACAGTGTTACTATATTAACTAGGAGTGTTCGCGTCGCGGTTTGGACTCAAAACCACTAACCGCACCGTATCTGCAGTTTGAGCTTTTCGGAAACTGCAAACCACACCGTGAAGCTTTTCGGAAACCCGGCTATCGTTCTTGAGTCCAGAAATTGGGATGCCAGGATAACTACAAATGTTCCCTAGATACCCTTACCTATGCAAATTGTAAATAGTCTTTCTACTAAGTGGAAGCATGAAATGTTTTCAAAGTAAGTCGAGCTTCTAAGTTTTTTCATCACCATGCAGATTGTATATTCACAAAGATAGGGGCTATAGAAATTCATGTTATTGTTTAGACAAACCACAGAAGTTGTTAGATGCAACGTAGCAATGATTTAGAAGAACGAGTCAAAAGACGTACATCTTTTGGCAGTGAAAATCCTTCTGGAACCACAAACAAACGAAGGAAACAGTATTCTCCCACATAGTCAAGCGCTTGTCCAAGGAAGATTGAATAGTGTTTCGGATATAATGCAAACCCTAATTGACGATCAGAATGGAACAAAACCGTTTAGCCAAATAATCAACAGTCTGTGATCTTAAATTCATAAGCACCAACAGTTGCGGAGGCGATTTGAAACAACACCGAAGACAAAAGGGAGTTGGAAAACAGAAACAAATGGTAGACCTTGGTTAAATCTTCCAGCATATCTGAACCATTGACCTTGAGTTGAATTGACGCCTCCCTGAAAGAACACCGTTAGTCTTTTGCATAGTGAACAGTTACTATCAGGAAATGATGATAGAAACTGACTGGTGAAGATGATCGAAGGCGCTATTGATCAATTCGTCGACGATGTTTAGGGCGGCGTTGATGAAAAGCTGCGGGTTGAGGTTGAACGAATCAAAAATCACCTCGCTCTCACTACGCTCCTCTCCGGTCTCTCTTCTCTTTCTCTGGATCTGCAAGAAAACCAGGTTTCGAATTTCCCGCCTGTTAATCTAGAACAAAATGAATTTTGAAGGATCCGAAAGGAAAATTTGATGACGTCATTTGTAACTGATTTATATAAAAAATCTTGTTACATTCGTTGTTTCAGAATTTTTTATACTTATTCATTTGTAATTGATTTATTTTATCTATTCTAAACTAATAAAAAAAGTATGTATTAAATTACAACATTAAAAGATAAGCACACAATGGCCAATGGCCCAGCGGTATGGAGTGACCATCTCATATGAGAAGTCAGGGTTCATGTCTTGGTGGAGACATAGGTGGTTATTTATGAGTAGATTAGTTAGTTTGCCGTTTCAAAAAAAAAAAAAAAAAACGAGCTTTTATATAATATAATTTATTATTATTATTATATATTAAAATAAAAATATATTTGGGGAATTAGGAATTTATGGTATTAATAAACGAGTTTTTTAACAAGCTCGAGTCGATCTTAAGCTTATTTAGGCACGTCGAACAAAAAACGAGTCGAACCCGAGCCGAACTTGTATAATTATTTACGAGCTCGAGCCGAGCTCAGTACAAGAAAGCTCGAATTGAGCCGAGCTCGATCTCGAGCCTCGTATAACTTAAACGAGCCGAGCCCGACCAGGCTCGGGCTCGGCTCGGCTCGTTTGCACCTTATTTCTGTGGTTTAAAAAAATCGTTATGGTTCTTGTTTTGAGAGTTTCTCAAAAATTGGTTATTAGTTAGGCTCGAAACTAGTGAACCAATATGTTTTTTAGACAATCTTTTTTTTATATTCGATCCAACTAGTATTAATATTTGGTTACTATTCAGTTTGGGACTCTATGCATTTAGTTTTCATTGAATGTGAATGATGGTCGGAGATGTTTTTCTTTTTTGTTTTGCAAGTTTGTATCACTTAATGTTGGAAACTAAGATTTATCACGTTTTGAAATTTAAATCTTTAACGAAATCATTGTATAACGAGGGGCTGTTTCATATTGTTTATTTGAAACAACTTTTTTAAGTATTTATTAATTACATATGTTTATATTATCGGTACCAAAATATAATAAACTAATGATAAAATCTGTGTAATTAAAAAGTAAATTATCAAAAACTCTTTTATTCAAGTCAATAATATAAGTAACTAACTTACCAAAAAGGGTTAATGACCTAAAAAGTTAACTAACTTTGGTCTTTGTCCACATTTAGGTAACCATGTTTTTTTCGTTCACATTTGACCATTGAACTTGTTTGACCTGTTCAAAATAGGGTAATATGACCGGTAATTAGCAGTAACATTACCCTATTAAGAACAGGTCAAACAAGTTTACTAGTCAAATGTGTACGAAAAAAACATGGTTACCTAAATGTGGACAAAAACCAAAGTTCAATACCTATTTTGGTAATATTGGGTTCTTTATGATAAGTGCAAGTAGTCATAAGATCTATTGATATGAAATGAAATTGGGTTGTCCGGTCTTGTGTATGAGGAGATGGTTAAGTCTTGGGCCAACCCAGTTTAGGCACAGCTAGTTAGGGGTTAGGTTGTATACGTTTAAGGGGCTAGGTTGTATGTGTTTTAAAGACTGAGCAACAAAGCTTAGCCCATGACTAGCCGGGACTAAACTAGGTTAGACCAAGCCTAACCTAAATGTTCATTGACTGTCGGAGCCTGATCCCAAGGCACACATTCTCTAAGACGGTTCTTGTCCAGTATTACCAAAACGGGTAAGAAACTTTGGTTTTTGTCCGTATTTAGGTAACCATATTTTTTTCGTACACATTTGACCAATAAACTTATTTGACCTGTTCATAATAGGGTAATATTACCGTAATTACCGGTCATATTACCCTATTTTGAACAGGTCAAACAAGTTCAATGGTCAAATGTGAACGAAAAAAACATGGTTACCTAAATGCGGACAAAAATAAAAGTTCGTTACGTTTCTAGGTCATTAACCCTACCAAAAATTAATGTAAGTAACCAACTTACCAAAAATTTCAAATTTAAGCAATAAATATGTTTAATGTCCTTTTTATTCAAACACTTAAAATAGTTTACAGGTATCAAACCGCAACAAGTCAATAAACACTTTTAATAAAAAATCACAAATCACAGTAATTCAATAAACATTTTAAATAAAAAATCAAAAAACACCCTTTAGTCTCTATAAAATACAACTCCAAAAGAAACAAGATGCTCACATCTCTAAATATTATTAAGAGAGAAACTTTAATTCTAATCTTAAGAAATCAGGACCATTCATTACATTTCAATCCTTAATTTCCACCGTTGGATTATTTGATGACATCATCGTTCATCCTTAACAAAGGCTTATTCAAACACCGTTACATACTTCTTTCTTTTTTCCTTCGTCATCTATCGCCTCTCTCAATTGTAACCTAAGAAACATAAAAACCATTCCCTTTTACTTCAATCATGCCAGAAAACATATCCCTAATTCGCATCTACCTCGCCTCTTCACACGCCTCCAGGAATACGGTTAGTTCATCTTGATTTTACTCCCAATTTCAGAATTTCTTATCTTCCAATAAGGCATTTGTGTAATCGATTTCTGTTCTTCATCGTTTTGTTTTCCCTTTTGGAATCGTCAGATCCTTTTCAATATCAATTTCATTGTTAGAATTCCACATCCAATTTGCCCCTTTTACTGATCTCTTCTTTCTTTCTTCTAGGAAATTTTCGATGATGTTGGCCAATTCGGAGAGTAAGGTTAAGGAGATGGAGGACAGGTTGGATCAATTACAAAAAGAATTGGAAGCGTACAAGAAGATTAACAGTATTCTGAAGGAGAAAGTGTTAGAGGATACCAATGACATAGAAGCTAAGAGAGGTATCGTCCTCAATGGTGATGAGAAAAAGCTCGATTGGCCCATTATTGCTGTGGGAGTTGGTGCTTTTGCTACGGTAGCACTTGTGTACTTCCGTCATGCAAACAGGTGAGCCTGAGGTTTTATTTGTGTTCTAATTAAAATATGCTAGAGTTTTATAGGTTTTTTGAGTTGATCGGCTTGAACCATATTCTAAAGGACATGTTTTATTTGTCCAATAGTCGTAATCTATATTTTGTATTGGTATAATGTTTTCCATTTGATCCTTTAATATCGTGATTGACGATTTTGGTGTGTTAATTAGAAAAAAAATGTATTATTTGTCTATTTTTCTGTCCAGTGGAATAGTTGCTCCCTTTATTGCTTCTTAATCATAGTACTCCTGTTTAATCATGTTCATTTCCAAGACTATGTCCACAATCTGATGGAAATATTTGACTGTGAAAAAAAGAATTAGGGGTATTTTGGTCTTTTAGATAGAATTTCATTTGATTTAGACATTATTGATGAAGCTGCTCAAGCCCTAGA